CGTACAGTATTGGTTTAACTTGACAGTACTTTAAATTTCTTCGTTAAAAAAAAACATTTAAATAATAATGATCTGAATACAAAATCCTATAAAAATATTTATAAATTTAGTATAAATATTTCTTTAACGGACTCGATGTTTTTTTCTTACCATACTTCAATTGTACGTCACCTAAAATTTATCTTACGGCTATAAAGAGTTCTTGTACGCTATTGTATACCAATAATTTATACAAGAGAACAATTGCATCACCGTATAATATTTATCTACGTTCTATGAATAATTTTAATTAATACACACATTTTCCATTTATAATAAGTTGCACACACGGAATCAGGAAAATGTGACAATTGCTTTACGTGAATCGACAGAATGTACATGAAACGTAGAAACTCATTAATGAAGTGAATCAAAATAATAATGAACTAAAAACACAAATCAAATAAGAAAGTCAAAAACCGATTAGCGATCGCTGTGGCCTAATTTTGTCTTCACCGTTTATTTGTATTAAAGATAGATGTCATCACGATAACGATATGCCGGTTTGTCACGCGATCAAGCTCCCATTGTTCTTTTATGTTTCGTGTAGGAATGCATGTGCCTGCGATAAATCTAACCGTAATTTTGAACTTTAAATTGCTTCATTACAAAACTCAGGTGACATGTATTACTTCATTTCTCTTTTCTTGTGACTCAGTAGTGCAAACAATTAATTACAGTTTCATAGATTATGAATTCAAAAGTGAAACGAATAAAATCAATTTCCGTAAGAAAATATTTTTTTGCGAGACACGTGGCCATGAATAGGGGTGCACGTTAAAAAACAGCGAAAACGTAAAGAAATGGTATCAATTATGTGAAAGCTACAAAAAACGGAACCCCTTGCCCTATGATTTATTTCTTAACTATGATCGATACAACTACTTTATCGTTAACAATTTATTAAGAAAAGAGAAAAATTTTATGCTTACTTTATGTCTACGTTTACTCCAAGAGTTAACGATGGATAATAACGAAGAGAAATAAATAACACTTAGATTTCTCAAATTCAGTTTAAATATTGTAAGTTAAGGGGTTGAATTTAAATTAATTTATAAATTTTTATTTAAAAACGTGAGTCACTTTATGAGAAAAGTATAACTTTCAGTACCACAGAACGTGTTAATCGAGCACATTACTTCAAAAATAGTATATTCTTACGATGATGAGGTTTGTCTTTAACATAAGTGAACAACAGTTGCTATAGCTAACGACTTTATTTATCTAAACGCTTTACCTACAGTTTAGTCAACTTTAATAATATTATACATTGTCGTTCAACCTTTTGAGCAACTTCTACTGCTTGCAAGGAAAAAATCATTCTCTTAATAAAGCAACATATTTTTAACAATTACTTTCGATCTGCGATAGTTTTTTAAGTATATTGAATACTGGAAACACGTATTAACTTTTAAAGGATATTTTCATTTCGAAAAATTGGTAGATGAAAAGGATTGTCAAATATTTCCGTTGAAATCTCCTACAATCTATAAAGTTTAAACAAACTCAGCACATTCGGTAAGAAGAAATTTTAATTAATGCCATAAGAATTTTTCTCCTTGTTAGATAGATGAAGTGTCTCCTTTAAACGAACGCGTTTTGTAAAATGTATTACACACTAAAAATACATCGTTTAAATGTGACATGGAATGGATTCTCGAAATGATTGAACGTCAGTAAGCACCTACACACGTATTGTAACGAGTTATAATCTGCTTGAGAGAACGATACAGTTATTATTAGACTGCGGATTTTTATTAAATTCCAAATTTTTAAGAATATTATTAGAAAAATCAAATTGCAGTAGAAAATAATTTCTTTAACACTACTTTAGAACTATCGCATCCGCCAAACTAACGGGTTTTCTTATTTTACAATTATTGATACCTTAAAAGTGTTAAATATGCGAAATGATTTTAAAAATAAATATCTTCACTTGAACATATAAAAATAAAAAAAAATATATTGTTACAGTTTTTATAAGGATTAAATGTTAATCATATTAAACGTTCGGTGGCTGTAATGTTAAGAAAACGTAAAAAGTTATGTTTTATACATTTTTTCGCACCGTGTACATTGTATGCAATTTTGCACATTTAAATTTCATATACATGCATAAGAATCCGCAGTCTAATTATTATATATCCAGGTGTCATATATCCCGTATATATAAATTACGTGTAGTCGGAAATTTGTGCCGCTTCAAGAAGGGAGCGATTAAATGATCGTTTGCAAGGTTGAACAGTTTCTACCATTATCCAAACTCAATCACGTTTTATTGCGTATTTCTATAATCAACAGTTTTCAATAAGCGTGTGATAAATTTGTTCACAGAAGATTGCTAATATTATAAACAAAAATAGACTACGGATTTTATGCGTTTTTGATATACAGTTACTCACAAAAGCATCCACCCATCTACTTGTACAATATATTACATATATTTAACGAATATTAGAATCATCAGGTATAACTCATATTGTCGTAAACATTGATTCATGCACATTAACACTGGGTTTATGGAACGCGTCAATTTGACGCATATTGAATTTTACAAACATCATTTAGTAAATATTTCTTTCGATTTTGATTGATGCAACAATACAAATGAGTATTCTAATTGTCTAATCATTATACCTCTAATTTCCGAAATCTAAACGAACGAATATACCATTTTTTAAGACCAGTAGAAAAATTGTACAATATATGCCCGTAAACCTGTGTTAAGTCTGACTAATTCAATTAAGTCATTATACACAGTTTATTTAAAAAAGGCATCATTTAATCCATTATATCGTACATATGGATGGATGGATACATTCGTGAGTACCTGTATGTAAGCGTACAAAATATATGTGGTTGTCGTGTTAATACTAAATTATATACTTTCTCCCTATGATTATCGTAAAGTAATGTACAGAAAATGATATTTTGATTAAAATCTATACTTTATTAACACTAAACGTACCGACACTTTATATACCCCTATTAATATTTATTAACCAGTCAAATAACTGGTTATAAAATAAAGGTAAGCAAGTTAAATTATCAGTTTTTCTTAGTGGAAACAAAAACAAAAGGAAAGACAAGATTGAAAATCTGATGAATGGAACAATACAAGAATTAATATAAAGTTAAATATATGAAAGAAAATGCAGAATTTTAAATCAAATTTTAAAACCGATCATTTGACTGGTCGTGGTGCGTTTAGTCTTAATGAATAATGTACTGTACTAAACTGTTCTACATTTTTGTGCATTGATGCAGTCATTAAGTAAAACTACATTTTTCCATGTGCAACCGTACAATTTTCTAAATGCCTTAAATAGGAAGACTTGTCCTTGAAACGCTTATTAAATTGCTCCCTATCTGAACATCGTAGCGCTACATTTCAGCCATGTATTATTTTCTGTAGAATACGTATGTATGTACGCTAAAACATGCTCAACATTGAATGGAACATGTGTGCCTTACGCTACTTCGTATTAGATTACCCTAAGCACTGTGTAAAACGCAGCTATCATATGTGGATGAGAATTTGGTCGACTACCAATTTAAATCGACACAGGGGCAAGAGACATCGTTCACTTATGATGCTCAATTGAATAGTTAAAAAAATCATAACAAAGAACACAACTGAACCAAAATTCAATAAAATGAGGTACGACGATATGACATTGACGTAAAACTTTTCGTTTTCGTCTAATGTGTTGAAAATCATAGCAGTATAAATAGTAAAATGTTCTTAGAAATCAGATGAGTTTTTTCTTTTTGAAACTGATGATCTTTGCTTTTGTTAGTTCAACTTTCATGAAATATGGTATTTCATAATTGAATTAGACTCTAAATACTATATCATTAACAAAGAGAATATTTTTTAAGTTTTCAGTAACTGAGGCCAAACATGTTTTGGCTCCTGAAATTATTATACAACATGTTCAGAAGCTATAAAAAGAAAGGCTTTCTGATCTAGGAAAAACGAAGAAACCAGTAAATCCTTTAATAACTAAAAAGAATATTATTTATTCCATAAAAATTTACAAAATTCAGGAAATATCAAAAAATCGACTTAACCCCATTGTCCTCTGAGCGATTCATTTGTTTCCCTATTATTTCGGATAATCAATGTTTTACCGTATGTATGTAGTTTAGCATAGAAACAAGTGGTATCATGGAATGTAAGAGTTGATTGATTGCAACATGCCCCAACGTGTGTAAAGGGTTGAAGGGATTAGGTGCAGCAAGTAAACGATTCTCTTTGCCTTTGTGCCGGTTTAGCTCGAAGGTAGTCGATCAACTTTCCATCTGCGTGTAATACACATATTTAAGACGTAAGAGTTTAAGAAAAACAAAAGAGAACCGTACAGATGTATATTTTTATAAAATAAACAATCGATTATATCGGGTTACCCAATGAGAGGCAACGATTTGTTACCCAACGGAGAGGAAAATCAGAGGTTTTATCCTGCAACGTTTATACTTACTGTTGTTTTGTAGTCCAGAGTTTTATTTTCCAAAGGTTCAATCATCGACGATGATCTTTGTTCGTTGAACGTTCGTAACGGATGAAAATGACCGTGAAATGATGCTGTATTACGTATTTACACGCTTCGTTGTAAGGGAACATTTTTATTAAAAGGGAAGGTTGGCGAGAAAGTATTAATATCTCCAGGAATCATAGATAATAGTAATAATAAAGACTTTATTGTACTGATAATGTGATGATAATAATAATAATAATGATAATAATGACATATTTATTTACAGTATATTATACGCACAAAATTATTTACAAAAACCAAGTGTCTTTTTATGTTTAGCAAGAAAACCAAAACTTACAGTAGATAAAATATTTCTCAAAGAAGGTAGGAGGTTTAGTCGATTCTTATTCGGATTAATAAAATTTATCGATAGATTGAGAATGTTCGAATAAATGTATTTCGCGGATTAACTCTTTATAATATCGAGTCGTATTCGTGGTTAAGATTTCAAATTGCATCCAATAATCGTGGATATTATTCCATGTTATTAGCTCAAAACGAAGTACAATATTTTTATCATTAATCCTTCATCCTTTCGAGTAAACGCAGATTTACAATGAATTTAAGGTCCCTTTTCCTCGTATTAGACTATTAACGGTGAAACAGCTCTAACGAAATTACATAGTAAACAAAACTTCATTACATAGTACACAAAGTGAAAGTAGAATTGAATGAATTATTCTATGCAACTCCAGTTTCACTAAAACCTACGCATTTACTTCAGAACAAATGCATAAAATCAACAATTTGTTAACAATTCCATAAGACAACCCACGGTTGAATTTTGTATACAAATAATATACCTGCTACAAAACTTTATTTAGTGGTATATATTTGTATAATATAATTGCATCATGAAATAAATGGTAATTTATACGCTATTTAGAACATAATGGCAACTTCCACTAACGTTTTCAACAACAATAACACTTTCTCGCTAACCCTACTCGGAAGTGTGAATGGTACCTTGTCAACAGAATCGCAAATAGGTATTGCCACGATGAAACCAAGGTTCTATGCCGGACAAAGAAATGTATAATAACGGAAATCAGATATTTATTCCTGGAAATAAATTGTTCACTCTCTCAACTATTCGTCTGTTAGCCGCTAACGGGACCCTAAATCATCATTTCCTTTCACCTTATCCATCCTTCCCGCTGCTTTCTTGGATTACGGCATTCCAATACAAGGCGAACGATTTTTCGGAGCTTCTTGTCAACGGGTAAAAGTCGGAACCGACCGGACGACCGCAAAAAAGAGAGGACAAAGCCCTCCCAGACGTGGAGAAGGAGGAAGGAGCGATATCGGAAGCTGTTGCGCTGGAACGGTGAGTAAAGAACCTTTAACCATCTGACGAACGATCAGATTCTATTGACTGACCTACGTTCCTCCTGGAATGTAATTATTTAGGTCGGTATTAGTGATATTATTGATAATATTAAATGAACCGGCGCTTTAGCTACCGATCACATTTTTGCGAAAGAAGAATGGGCGATTATTAATTTAATAATACAGAGACAATGCACAAAATATTTATAGTACATAACATTTAAATTATTTATTTATTTGTTCTTAACAAAAACGGAAAACTATAGATACATTTTCTTATTTCGAAGTACCGGTCATTTGACCGGGCGTGGTACATTTAGTGATAATATTGTTGGTACAAGTATATTGGACATATACTAAAACGCAAATTTTCGAGGAAATATACGTATTTTTTAGAGATACAATGTGGAGAAAGAATGAAATATAGATTGAAATTCGATTTGTTATCAACCCTTGCTCTATGATATTTCTCAGAACTATATTAACTTCTTTCTATTCATATTTTATTAACTTTTTAAAGGGCTTTAAGGAACACATTAATTTTTAATGGGTTACATCATAAAAATAACTTCTGCTTTAGCAATTTCTTTAGTATATACACTGTGTATGTATGAATTTTCATACTTTCTCCCTTCTAATAATGTTTCTTACGAGATTATGAAAAAGCCGTTATACAATAATAATTAAAGTAAAATATGAAAACTTACTAGTAAAAGAAATAAAATATGCGCGTACGAGATCAGAAATGGACGCTGAGTCATAAGAAAATAATAGAGAAATGCCCACGTAATCTGATTTTATTGAGTGCAAAAAAGTTCTAAAGATAGTTGAAAGTATATTCTTCTAACTGTTCAATGAACAACGATTCATTTAATAATAAAAACGAAAGTTTAATTAAAATTGAATATAAAATAGTAGTACACACCATTTTAGATTCACCAAGAATCTTCATCTTGATAATGAAAGAAGCACGTGTGAAGTAAGCGTGCAAAGATACACTTTGTGTTTCAAAATTCCAGAGGCATTTTTTCACATATCTACATCAATGATTTAGAGCTTGAAACTTCAATAATTACTTTTAAAAGCATTAAATTCAATGTAAGAGATAATTTTCCTCGCGATATAATTTTGCTGGTAATTAATTTAAGTACTCTGTATCGGAATGCAAAATGTTTCCAAGTATAAAAAGTGTGAAAGCTCGATCCAAGGGTATAAGATAATCAGCGAAGTTCGTGCTAACGTATGTAATTACTTACTTACCCTGTGATTTTGTATAGTTCTCAATTTGAGCGAACTTTCGTTTTTCGCCGAACAAGGCTATCAACCTTCTGCGGTCTAATACCGACGTAATGGCGACTTGGAGCTTTAAGGGGGGACTCTCCTGTTACAACAGTAAAATCCATTAATTTTCCAGTAGTTTTATTATTTTACAAAATTATTTATTATTTTACAAGATTATGTATTATTCAGGTACAATGATACATTCAAACATTGGGAAAAAATTTGTTCATTTATTTCTTTGTCACTATTAACTCAACTGTTGCCATCCTCTTCAGCAATGTAACAATTATTGTCGTGCAGATTGGCATGTATAGTAATCATCAGAATCTAGAAAATAAAAAAGTTTCTTAAAGTTAAACAGTTTGTGGTGATATTATACTAACTTCTAGCAAAAATTATAAACAAAATATACAAGTTACATACCTTTGATTAGTCTAGAAAAATTAATTTTTCGAAAATTGTATGCCTTTAGCGCAATCCTTTTGAAATATTTTTCCCAAAGTTGTATTTAAAATTTGATAAAACCACTGAGCAGTTCGAAGCTTCTTCAGAGACTGCTCATCGATTTAGATGAAATTTTACAGTAATATTCTTAAAACTATTATTTAGTAATTACTTATCGATGCGATTGTTCTATGTATACCTTTTCTCTTATTTTATTTACAAGAGAAATTGAAAATTTAAATGGAAAACTACACGCTCGAATTCAAGTATATTCAAGTAGCCACATTCTTTCATTTTAAATTGTAACGTAATATTAAATTATCCGCAAATATTATTTGAACAACATGGAATCAAACTTATGTACAGTCTTTCTTAATAATACGTTGTTTTTCATATAAAAGGAAACTCGTTACAATTCTTGGTACTTTTCAAGCGATCAAAGGTATGTAACCCCTTAAGCAAAGAAACAAGCAATTGTCGCGGTCGTGACGGATTCTCGATACGACAATTGGTCTGGAATAGAGTAAATACCAAGTGGAAAAAAAGTGTTGAGAGTGCCGGGAGTAATTGCTGTCGCTTAGGAACCAGCCAGTGCTCGGCGATCGGAAAAGACGAGAAAGCTGCGGCGAAGCGAAACCGTATAAAACGTTGCAAACGCGGCTCACGTTCATCAGTACGACGAATATCCGAACCACAGCCGGCAACGGGCGATCCGACCATGAATAATTCGGTAAATCTTGTTTCTTTTGTCCCTTCTTTCGCCGCGTCAACTGTGACCGTTCTTTTCGGAATTTTTTCATTAACCCTCTTGTCGGTATGACCTTCCTGGGGAAATAGAAGTAGAAATAGAAGGAGATATAAAAATAGAGTACGAACCATTTGTTGTGCTCCCATTTATTATTGTTATTTGTTTTTAAGAATGTTAAATTTTGTCATTCTTATGGAAAAGATATATCATTCAGCAGAAATGCTTATGAAATGTATCTTTATGAGCGTGATGTTGGGTTGTTTGTTTATCCATGTTTTGAAGAATACTGTTCAAACAAAAATGTTGATTTTCAATGAATAAAATTAAATTAAAGATGCAAGTAAGAATTAATGTAATACATATTGTTGAGTTTATTATATTGTTGAATGTGTTTTTTTATTGTTAAATTTCTTCAGCAATAGGTGAAGACGGGTTGCAAACAATTTTCTGTTATAATTATACAGTTGTCCCACGAATTTTCTATGGTAGTAACGAGAAATAAGAATTGTTTAAGAACAAAAGATAGGAGTTTGAACTATTTTCGGTCTTCATCTTGTCGATCTGCGTGTTGTATATTATTAACTATTTAAAGTAGTTTTATACCTGCAGATATCTGTATGTGTTTATCAGTGAACGTTGTTCTTTAAAACTACAGTTTTTAAGAGAAATTCATATTAAATTAATCACGTGAGTTACATATACTGAAATAATTCTCAAACAGTAATTTCAACATTTTTAATTTATTACAGGGATGTAAATTTTTAATACTGAAAGTATCACACTTATTTAGATATTTCTCCAGTTAAGTACTTTGTTTCTTCGAATATCGAAAATTCTACGTAATGAAATTTCCTATTTTTTTAAAAATAATTTATTATTATAATGCTTACATTTCCAAAATCTATTTACCGTTGAAAGGGTTAACGATGTCAAGTAAACTAGCCGCTACACTAGATTTTGGTGTCAAACAGTACGGAACAAATTGATTGTTGTTTTTTATGTAGATGATAAAAGTTAAATAAGTGTATTTTCTCTGTGTAAAAATAAATCTTACTGCAAAAAATGTTTAGACTTTCAGAGGTGTACCTAAGTATAATAATTTTATAGATTTAATTACAAGGTACTGAAAAATAAGGATGATACGCAGATTAGTGGAATATACAAATAATAGAGTACTTGGATAACCATTTGATTTTTGGAAATTTTACTATAGAAAATGTGAAATGTTTGAAGTTTAAAAATTTAAATGCTTTTACCAAAGAAATCTTCAACTTTCATTTATAAAAGAACGCGTTAAGATAAATATTTGATAACTTCTAAATAAACTATATAGAAAATTAGTTCGAAAAACCCAATAGAAGAACTCCAAAACATTACATTAATTTTAATTTCCAAAACATAATTTTGAAAAATCAATCTTTTTATCTGAGCACTTGTTCATTTTTTAAAACATCGACTTAAGAAAACGATCTTGTAGATTTCTAAATGTTCTGTCCTCATGTATGTACATACATAATTTGTCTGCTACTATAACTGTCGAAAAATTCATTATTATATTAAGATTATTTCTATTACAAATATACTAATTATGGATGTATAGTGACTGTACATCGCGAAAAAAACATTATGTGATTTTTGTATATATTGTTATATTGTTTCTTTATTTACTTTAAATATGAAAGTGTTATTAGAAATTATTTTTTGTGATTTTTTATAGAAAGCCATATTACCCTCACATTTGCAAAAGTTTCAAAAGCTACTTGTTTTCATAACATACATATTAAGTTCAATTAAACTGTTTTTCTTTCACTTTCACCTTTCGTCATAGGTAACCTTACTAGTTTACCTACAAATTTTACACAAAAATTGAAAGCAATTCAAGTTACGAATCAGATTTTACGAAGGGGATATGAAATTAGAGGGCATATCACTACCTATTCTTCTGTTTTCATTTGACTGAAAAAGCATATAACTACACGCACGCCAGAATTACATTACCATGGTTGAAGACGTTTGAATTTGCCTTGAAAGTTCGTGCCAAGAAACTTCGTTTCCAGACCGAGTAATTTTTCCTGTTGGCATTTGACTTCCTCGTGATTTTTGGCATAGCTTCAAATATAACTGTGTAAAAGTTAATCGTTCTCCGGTTCGAAGACTACTTTTATCCATGCGAGTGATCAGTGCGGAAAATATTTTAGCCTTTAGAGGACTACCCATAGTAAGAAAGTTATTTCGAAAACTCAGCGTGTCATGAAATGCATGGTCAACGATACCTCGTTTGACGTGACCTTATGAAAATTTCTGGCAAATGCATTTACGTCTGAAACCAAAGATGAAAACGTCAGTCTAAAAACTGTCCTCGTCAATTTGAAACGTTCATATTAAACGATCATATTTACCTTATTCATGTGCTTATTGGATTTTTCATTTGGATATTTCTCTTCAATTTACTGAAAATATTTTAGATCAAACGATTCCACAACTTCTCTATATTTTATGTTTCTGCGAGAAGATTAAACGTTGGAAACACCGAGCAGTCAAATTGATTCGTTTGTATTTTCTTTTGTGAATTATAACAGTGTATTTATTTAAAATTCTGACTTATGTTTTAGAGTGCGCGTTACAAAATTCATTTGTTTAATGATTTTTCAGGAAGATATTTGTTTAAAAGTGGTAGAAGAAATGTGATATGCACCTTTCTGATTTACCTCGCAGTTCTGATGTTAACCCTTAACGGACCAATACCGCCATATAAGCGGCATGGCACTTTTACTTGGTCCAATGCCGCGTACGTGGCGGCAAAAATCATTTTACCATTTTTATCACTGTTCTTGTTCTAATATTTACAATTCATGCGTTAAGTATTGTGCTAGGTCACCTCTGTGTGTATTTTATACGGTATTTTTTGGCGGTAAATAAACTTGAAATACTTCCGGTCTGTTAAAGGTTAAATGTATGAATACTTAATTATGAACATATTTGGACGGAGAATTAGAATGGATCAATTTTATAAGATGTAGTCTTTATCATTAGATCGAGAATACTATAATGCAAGTTTATTAAACATTTTTATACGTTAATTAAAAAATGTTCTGAACTATTGATTACTCTTAT